TGTGTTTTTGTTTTTATTGACTTTTTTTCATATTTTTTTTTTTTTAGAAATTTGACAGTTGGAGTTTGGACTTATAAAAAATAATTTATTTTCGTGGTTATTAACCGAATCGAACCGAATCGAGATACAAACCGAGCCGAGCCGAACCGACTTACGTGGTTATAGTGCGGTTATGGTATGACCAAAATTTGGTGGTGCTGTTATGATTTTGACTGAACCAACCCCAAACCGAACTGTTGCCATCCCTACCTTTGAAGATGGACTTAGAAAAACCAAAGTGCCTGCCATTGCCTTGTGCACTGGATAATCATTATTATTTTGGAATATATAAAATTAGATTGAACTATGGTTGTCATTTCAAGTGAAATGATTATAAGTTGTGGATTCGTGGATAATAAGCGAGAAATATGTGTGAATTTTGGTATATATTAAAAATTCTATTTTGATGAAAACTAAATAATTTATAATCACTCTACAAACATGTTTAATTAATCTTTTAAAGTATGATTTTGACTCCTCAACCTTTAGAAGCACGATTTAAATCCTATGAATTGAAAGCTAATTCGCCTGACTTAAAATCGACGATAAAATCATCAAAGATCTAACTCAAAACACAAATTCTAATATTCTAACTTAGAAGACACAAATTCTAATTTTCTTTCAATATTATTAGACCTTGAAAGAGTGGAGGGGTGATGTTTGCTTGACTAGACTTTATTTCGAGACGACGGTCTTGGCAAAGTATTTTGCATGTCAATTCTTTGTAATGGACCAGACAGAAGTTGAGTGTATTTAAAATTCTGGGTGTGTTTGAGCCACATTATTTTGGAAGAATGCATTTTGAAATAGTAGATTGATGAAGAATGTGTGGTTGAAAAAGAAGGAAAAATTATTGATGTGATGGAAAATACTATTTTATTGAAGAATGTGTAGTTAAAAATGATTAGTAAAATGAGAATGAAAATAAAATTCTTTCCCCCTCACATGGGAGTGATGCCCACGATTGTAGGCCCCACCCCCATGTGAGAGGGATGTGTACAAGATTGTGTACCAAAGATGTACACTTATCATTAGTGAATTTTTTAATTCTCTCATTTCCAATCACATTTTCAAACATTAAATTATTTTGTATGTAAATCCAAAAAAATTTTCCATTTTTTAACGGTATATTATTAAAAAAGAATTCTATTCAAAACATCATTTTTTTTTTTCAATAATAGCCATCGAACGGGCGACTAATTCACCTTCTGCGTCGGTAGATGAGACCCTTGACAAAACCATTGTTAGGCGTGCTAGAAACTCCCTTCTTCACAGGCAATCTTTGATTGTCCTGTCTTGTTGACTTCAATTCTGCTTTTTGGACGTACTCCCTTCTTCACAGGCAATCTTTGATTGTCCTGTCTTGTTGACTTCAATTCTGCTTTTTGGACATTCCACACTTCATCAATCCACTCCACACCTACAGATATAAAACCAGATTTGTGACTACTGAACAACACAGACATCTCAAGAAACTAAACTAAACTAAACTAAACTAAACTCTGAATTTGCTCGATGCCGATATTCTTTATCTTCTTCCTCTTCCTTTTGATCTCTTCTGTACAAGCACTTTCCTGTAATAAACTGGATCATGATTCTCTTTTATCGTTCTATAAACAAATTTCTGTCCCATCACCAGAAATTCCTCTCAACTGGTCATCCATCGACTGCTGCAACTGGGTAGGTGTTACTTGCAATTCCGAGTCTCGGGTCACCCGTTTATCGATATCGGGAAGGCATCTTTCTGGAACCATCACTCCCTTTCTTGGGAATCTTACATTTCTATCTCATCTTAATTTGTCCCACAATCGGTTATCTGGCCCTTTTCCTTTCACACTTTTCCAATCTTTGAATCATTTGGAATCACTTGATTTGAGTTATAATCTTCTGTCTGGGTCACCGAACTACAGCTTGCCTGTTTCAATTCGAACAATAGATCTATCGAGTAATCAGTTTAATGGGTCGATCGAGTCTCCGTTTT